CAGCATGATTTCCAGGTGGCTTCCATGCCGAGGGATCGCGCTTGATCCCGAGTCCCCGGCGGGTACATGCAAGTCGGTGACTCAGACCCAGTCATCTGGAGCGGCTTCATGTGGCCGGCTGCTTCCAGATTCCTCTCCTGGGTCTGACTGCTGACCCGGCTTTGGCACCCTTCCAGCCTTCTCCACCATGACTTCATGTTTTCTCCCCATGTCACTCAGGACCTCCATGAGGTCGATGTCTGGGCAGAATTCACAGCCATGCTGACTTGGCCACCCACCTGGGCCCCAGGGAACTGATTTCATTTCCTCCTTGTGGTTGAACTGCATCCCTAGGTCAGTCCCGGCCCAGGTCAGCCTGCCCGGTACCTTTTGCCAGCATTGACGTTGGCCTACATACTCAGATGCAGGTCTTGCTCCAAGTCTCACTTGGTCTGGGAGTTGCATGAGTTAGCTTCACATTACTACAGTGAAATCCTTGGACAATGGAGTTATGAAGATTTATTTAGCTTACAGATTCGGAGGTGTCAATCCAAAACTTAATGGCCCCATTGGTGTGGGCCTCTCGTGAGTGTGGTCTCTCCTGGTGGAGAGGTAACAAAATGCTCACATCCCCAGCCAGGAAATAGAGGATAGACTGAGGTCCCACAGTCCCCTTTGAGGGCGCACCCCCCACAACCTAAGGACCTCCCATGGAGCCCCACCTCTGAAAGGTCCACAGCATGTCCCAGTAGTGCTACCTTGGGGAGCACTTACGGATGGACTTTGGGGGGCACTATCCATATTCAAAGCTCGGCAAGTCATCTGCTGTGGGCAGGGTGCTGTCATCTGCAGGACAGTCGTGGAGTTCTCAATTCTGGCTCCAAGAATCTCCTCCCACGGAGCGGCTGGCTGTGGGCAGGCCTGGGCCCGGCCTGGGCCCTTCATCTCTAGCTCTCCATGGACCTGCTGCAGGGTGTGCCCCACGTCCAGGTGGGAGGACAGGTGGTCCCTGAGGTTTGTGTGGTGACCTGGTTGCCCACCAGCAGCCCATTGAACCCAGCCAGCGAGCCAGCTTAGCAGCTATCACAGTCCCTGCAGGAGAACTAGTCTGTGAAATGGGCAGAGGCCGTGGACCCCCAACGCTGCCCAAGCCCCCATGGACGCTGAGCAGGAAGAGTACACAGAGCTGCCACCCAGGCCGGGAAGGACAAGAGCTGCAGGCATCCAGCCAGGAAAGGTAGTCTGAATGTGGGTGGCTGAGAGCTGACGTGCGGAAGCACCGGCAGGCGTGGGGCTGGGGTCGGCAGGGAAGGAGCCGCAGCGGCAGCGCTGGGCAGAGCGCAGAGCTGATCCTGAATGTGTGGGAGGAGTCCTCCCAGAGGCACAGCAGGCCTTGGTGGAGCACCAGGAAGGGGTTGACTCACACCGGCATCTTGGCCTGGCTCCTGGATGCGCCATGCAGCTTCCTGTCCTCAGGCCTGGGCTGGCCTGCTGCCTCCCTGCCTGGAAGGCCCTCCCCTTGCTGGCTGACCCCACTCACCCCCCTGGACTCACTCCAGGGGAACTTGGTGTTACCTTGGAGGCCTCCCAGACGCCCCGCCTCGCTCCTGCTAGCTTCTCACTGTGCTCCCTCCCTCCAGGCCAGCAGAGTGGCCCTGAGTTGCCAGTGACTATTGCTTTGCCATCTCTGTGGGCTTGCGGTCGGTCCTGGAGGTCAGGGACAGGTCTCCTTTATGTCTGTTCTGAGACATTTGGAGGTAACAGTGGGAGAGGGAAGTTAGCTCATGAGAGTCTTTGTAGGAAGAGGGCAACTCGGCGGGGCATTGAGGGATGAGCAGGAGCTGGTCCTTCCAGGCAGCAGGAGGAGGCTTTGCAAAGCCACAGTGTTGGGGAGCGAGGTGACAAGAAGCTGCTCAAGAAGCAAAGGGGGCCGGAGGAGGGGGGTAAGAAGAGGCTGCAGAGGGAGGCAAGGCAAGCGGTGACTGCAAGGAGCCCGGATTTGAGCAGGAAACAGATAGTTCCCCCAGGAGCTCAGTCAGTCTGCACTACAGAGAGATGACTGTGACCATGGAGTGACATGGCATGTGGTAGAGACACTTGGGGGGTGGCAGGAAGGCGGGAGCAGTGGTGAGCCCCTGAGTGCTCTCTGGACCTCCGGCTCAGGCAGAGAGCAGGAAGCCTCTACTGTTCCTGAAATATGGTCCAGTCATGGGCCTGGCACCTCTGGTGGTGCCCCAGGAAGTACGACCTCCTCCCTCTTCCATCTGCCAGAGGTGCTTTCAAGCTCTGGTATGCCCTGTCATCTCTGTGGCTCAGCAACAGCATACAGTTAGGTCTCTGCAGAGCCCATGCCCTGCCCAAAGGGAATGGGGAGGCCGCTCACCAAAACCAGGGAGGGGGGATTGGAGAGGAGGGGGCTAGCTTCTGGAGTGGCCCAGTTTTAATGATATAATGTGCATAAACTGTGTGATTCATGGGCTCACTCTGTAGCAACAACCTGGGACCCCAGAAAGGGGAGGGAGCAGAGGGGCAGAGGACAGACCACAGCCAGGAGCAGACCTGGCTCCTGGCAGCTCCTTAGAGATCAAAACGTGGGCAGAGAGAGGCCCAAAAAGTAAAGGGCAGCTGCCTGGGAGGCCGGGAGATAGGCTTGCGCTGGGTTCAAGGCCGTGAGACCGACAGCAAGACTTGACTGTGAGCAGTGGAGAGGCTCCATGTCCTCAGCAGCCAGGTTCATCTAGAGGTCTCAAGAGCCAAGGGTGACAGAAGCCTCGGTACCCCATGGGCAGGCCTCTCTGACAGACAGCACTGCCCTCTACCATCTAGATTACAGCCAACTGCCACCCTCACTGGCACAGTGTTGAGTGTCCCACAGCTGGAGCCCAGGAATCCAGCCTTGCCCATGACCTCCTGGGGGAGGCAGGACCCCTCCTCAGGGGTCTGGAGGAAGACAGCCTCCCAGATCATATCCTGAGCTGGGCACAGCAGGTCATGGTGCAGAACTCGGTGCCTCTGGGTGAAAACCCTCCAGGAGGGCGCTGTGTGTGGCTGGGACTTGGAGGGTCTGATGGATCTTCCTGTGGCGGGGGGAGACCTGCCTAGAGGACCACGTGGGTGGTCCCCTGCAGAAGGCAGTAGCCAGGGCAGCTGAGGACTCCAAAGTCCTCAAATTCACAAGAAGAGCCCCCCAAGCCCTGAAGATTAGTCAGAGGGGTGGGTCCTGTGCATCCGTGCCATGGAACCAGCCTCGCCAGCCTGTGGTCCAGTGGCCTCCCGTTCTCAGACACATGCGTACTTGCTTCCTGGACCCCTCTGCAGTTCTGGCCAATGACTCTGACTAGAGGCACCACGTGTCACTTGTGAGCCAAACACTAAGGCCAGCTGGGGGACCACCCTGCTCTCCCTGCCTCAGCTCTGATCTGAGTTCGGTGGCCTGCAGGGCATGGCTGCCCTGGAGGCACATCCAGGAAGGAGACTCTGCTGCCTCTGACCTCTCCTTGTCCCATCTGTCCCGGGGCCCCTGACACCAGCCCCAGGTGGTGCTGATTCAGGATGGTACTGTGGGCAGACTCTGAGATGGCATGGGAGACTGAGCCGGACTTAGCCCTGGGGGTGGAAGGGCATGATACTGTGACATGGATATTAGGCCTTGTCTGGTTCCCGGCGTACAACTCCTAAAACCCTTGGAATCCTCAAAGTGCTGTTTGCATGCTAATGAATTGTCCTTTGGCTGGCAGCCACTAACCATTTCCTAGATGGGGCTTGTCACAGGAAAGACAGACAGGATGAGAGGGCTGGGATTTTCACCCTTGCCCCCAGCCTCTGTAGAGGGGAGAGGGGCTGCAGTTGGAGCTGATCGCCCAGGGCCGTAATGTAATCACTCCTACTTACATAATGAAGGCTCCATAAAACCCAAAAGAATAGTGTTCATGTGGTCCTGGATGGCTGGAGGGGACAGTGCCTGGAGGGCAGCCCCAGGGAGCGCTCTGTGCCCTCCTCCTCTGCCTTGACCTGTGCCAATCTTCATCTGCACCCCTGGTGATGTCCTTTATGATAAGTTGGTAACATAAGTGTATCATGAGCTTTGTGGGCCACTCTAGAAAGTCAGCTGAACCCAAGAAGGGGGTGGTGGGAATCCTGATTTATAAAGGGCCTGTCAGAAGACCAGGTGAATCCATCTGGGGCTTGTGGTTGGCATCTGGGAGGGGGTACTGTCTCCGGGTGGGTAATGTTAGAATTTAATTAAGTTCATGGACACCCAGCTGGTGTCCACTGAGAGCTCTGAGGTCGGAGCCTCACAGTGCACCTCCCCACGCCCAGGTTGGGCACAGAGGGGTATGCAGCAGGCAGGAATACAGGTTGCTGCACCCGAGGGGCAGATCCCCCGGCCTCCTGGGGCTCCATCTCAGGTGGGGGCAGCCATACTTTTTCACCTTCTGAAGCTACCCAGCCACTGGCCAGAAGTGGCTATTCAGCTTTCAATGAATTAAGATTTAAACCTTGTGTTAAATCCCCCAGTCACTATTCAAACAGTGGTTGCTCTGTTGGTGAGAACATGGATCTAGAACATTCCCAGTATCGTGCAAAGCACAGCTGAACAGCTCTGATCTGGAAGCATGGTGCCTCAAGACACTTCCAGGTGGGCACAGGACCCAGAGCCCATCCTGTGGTCACTGTGGAGCACTGGTGGCCTGTGAGTTGGACAAGGGACACATGGGCACACCATGACTTTCTCATAGAGGCCAAGCAGTCTCCTGGTTAGTCTCTTCAACCTGCCCTGGGGCAGGCAGGAGCCAGGCCCTACCCATTGCTACCACTGGTACCTGGAACTAGCCTGGGGAGGGGCTGAGGAATGCTCCTGAGCAAGCCGAGGCCAGACCAGGCGCTTCCCCTGGGTGGGGGGGGTCCCTCCTGGGGCCTGGCCCTGCTCCTTGCGCAAGCCCACAGCCGCTGCCTTGGCGCAGTTTGCAAGAGGCCTTGCACCTTCAGAAATCATGCAATTACACAAGTGGCTCTGCAGGTTGACAAGTTACAGTAGGGCATCTTTTATTACCCCAGGCTTCCTGGGGTCAGACTTGACACCGGGCGAGGGGGTGGGGATGGGGTTTCCAGTTGCGCAGGCTCGGGTGGCTAAATGGCAGGAAGCATCAGGAGCTAGAAGTCCCCTCTGTGGAACAGCTGGGCTGGTGAGAAGCTGAGGGCCAAGTGGAACTTGGTGTGTCCAGGACTGTGAGGAAGCTGAGTAGGGACGACTAAGGGGCAGGGCTGGGCAGGACACACAGGACCAGAAACTGACCCCGGTTTCCACCCACCCTCCTATGCACCTCCTCAGTGCCCTGCCCACCTATAAATGCAGACATAGTGCATGTCACCTGGGGGGCCGTCAGCCAGCCTCCTGCTCCCTCCACCCCACACTCTGCTGGCCTCACAGACTGGAGGCGACAAGGGCTCCACCTTCTCCTCCAAAAGTGTTTGGTGCCTGTGTGGGGGAGGTGCACGGATACAGGGTCCCCACGAGTGTGGCTTGTCTTACAGTGGATAAGGCGAGGCACCGCTGGCCACCACCTGGATGGTGCCCCGGAGGCCACAGGGGACCAGGCTGGCTATAGGGAGACCTTTATTCCAGAGCCACTGGGGGAGACTTGGAAAAATGAGGGCCAGGAGCCTTGGCAGCCACGAGTCACACGTACTTACACACAGTGTCACTCAGAGGGTCAGGCTTCAGGGCGACTACGTGACACACACAGGGAAAGACAAGAGGAAACTCTTGAGGGTCCTGTCTCTCGGGGACGCCACGAGCCGGGCCACAGGGGCCCGCACGGTGGGGCGTAAGGCAGAGATGCTCCCCTTTACCGGGACTAGAACTACACTCTGCGCGGGTGTCATCCTGTGTGTAAGTAAGCTTTACTTTTTTAAAAATAAAGACTTCTGTGTTACTTGAAAGGTCTCATTTAGGCCTCAGGGGGTGGCTGGAGGGAGCCGTGCCTGGAGCGCTCGGTGGCACCCTGTCCGTGGACGCTCCTTCCTGAAGAGAGCCGTCAGGGACAGGTGTAAAGCTCGCACACCCAGCGCTGGGCTCTGCCCCTGGCTCTCCTTCTGCTCTCCTGCCCTGGCCTGTGAGTCTGCGGCCTGCCAGGCGGGGCCACCTGGCTCTGACAGCGCCTGTCACTGAAGAGCCTCTCACAGCCCGCGTCCTGGCCACCTCTGCACCCCAGGGCCAGGCACTCTGGGGATGCCCAAAGGTGGGCCACCCCTGTCTGGGTGATCGGCCCGGAAGCCGAGTGGCCCCTGGGAAGGGCAGAGTCAAGCCAGGGGTCGTGGCCCTAAACTAGAGCAGGCGCTTCTCCGCACACCAGGGGCTGTGCCCGCTGGGGCCCTCCTCCTGCCCAGCCCAGCTTCCCCCAGGGTCCCCACCCGTCCCACTGACACAGAGAAGCCACGGCAAGGTGTGGGGTAAAGGGTGTGTGGCTCTGGCGGGGGCTCCTCGGCGCTGCCCTGGCGCGGTCCGTGGGGAGGGCTGGCGGCCGTCAGAACAGCAGGGCCTTCTTCTTGAGGTCATTCCTCTTCCACAGCGCCAGGCGGTCAAACTCCTCGATGCTCATCCCAAACACCTCCTGGAACTCCTCAGGTGACAAGTGTCTCTTCAAACAATGAGAAACAGAAGGGACAATTAGTGGCTTCTCAGCTGGGCCAGCTCTCCTGGCTCTCGGGCCAGAGGCAGGCTGGCGCAGCCTCTCGGTGGGCCTGGGGGTCCCCATTCCCTCTTTACAGGGAGGGAGCCCAGCCAAAGGAAAGAGGCTTGGGGTGACAGAGGGTCCAGCCCAGAGCTGGGGCCAGCATCCTCCACCCTGTCTCCTACCAATGTGCCTTCCCTGTGTACCTTGGGGACAGGGCTGTACCTGCCCTCCGTGTCTGAGCTTCCTGTAGCTGTCCTTAGAAGGCTGCAGTCCCCTCATTGAACTCACAGCGGGTGTCTGTGAGCAGGAAGTGGGAGGTTTTCCATCTCCCGTTTCCCGGCTGGGATGCCGAGTGTGACCAGGGAGTGAAGAAGCCGGCCAGGCCCAAGTGCAAATCCCACCCTTCCCAGCCCTGGTGTGAGCTAGCTACTCTGTGTCCTGGAGCCCAGGTCCTGGGTGGGGCCACCCTGGGGACTCTGCATGACCTGGTGGTCAGGCGCCTGCCTCCAGAGCCTCTGTGGTGCCATGTGATGAAGCTGGCCTCCGGGAGCCTCAGCCTGTGCATCTGTGTGGCGGGGTCACCACAGGGACGAGTGAGTCCCTTCAGGTCAGCACTCAGCAAGGAGCCAAGCCGTGAACCACAACCCAGGCCCTGCCACGTTAACTACAGGGGCCACTGTGCCAGCCACCAGCACTTTGTTGCTGCCATGCATACGCCTGCTAGGACTCTCCCCTCAGCCTTCCTCCAGGCTCAGGGAGCACCTTCTCCCTCCTGCAGACCTGTTCAGGTGGGCGGCATCCCCTTCCTGAGGAGCCTTCCTAGAGGGTGGGGCACAGCTCCGCTGGGGAGGGGCCGAGCAAAAGGGCCAATCAGGAGGCTGGGATGGGGTGTGGCCAGAGAAGGTCAGGCTCTGCCACCTATCTGCAAGCGTGGCCCGTCATCTGTGTGGGAAGCGGTGGAGAAGTCGCTCCAAGTGAGCAGAAGACCGCGAGCTCAGCCGTCCACTCCTAGCTGAGACCCAGAGAAGAGGACCAGGGACTCGGGCGTTTGTGCACCTACGGCCTCGGCATCGTTCAAAGCAGCCGAAAGGTGGGAAAAGCCCAGTGTCCACTCACAGATCCACGAGTCGGAGGCCCCACTGCACGAGTTGGCAGCTCAGCCTTTGGAAGCAAGGAGTCCTCACCAGGGTCAGCAAGGACTCCTTGAAGACATGGGCCAAGGAAGGAGCCAGACACCCAAGACTGCTTGCTGCATGACCGCGTGTCTATGAGACGTCCAGCGCAGGCCTGCGGTTGCCAGGGGTGGCTGGGAGAGGAACGGGAAGTTTCCTTTGGGGTGATGAAAATGTCTTGGAGCTAGACAGTGGTGACGGTCATGCACCGCTGTGGGCGTAGGAAGGGCCATGGGATGGGACGCTTCAGGGTGGATAAAGTGGTGAGTTTTGCCACAATTTTTAAAAATTCTCGCCAAAAAACGGGGGGGTTCAGTTTCCTCAACCTTAAAACAAAGTCACTAATACTACAGGTTGCTGTCATGATCAGGAGAGAAAACCGAGGTCAGGGCATGGCAACCTCCGGAAAGCGTGGACATGGACTCTGGCCATTGTGAATCCCACAACGTCACTCCTCTCTGTAGCACTGGTGTGGAAGTCCACTGGAGGGTGATCTGGAGGAGGTAAGCCAGGACCCCCCAGAATCCTGGGTCACAAAATCACTGCTAATTGAACCTGGCCTGGAGTCTCTCTTGTATGGTTCGACAAGCCCCCCAGGAAGAGGCCCTCAGCCCCTGCACCCATCAAGTTTGAACAGGAAGGGTCCTGGAGCTTGCCAGACATTGAGCATTCGCATGGGGTTGAGACTGGGCTCTCTGTGCTAAGAAACCTGCCCCTCGCCCACTGTCACTTCAGACTCCATCTTTAAAGACACAATGATGATAAATGTGTCATTCAAGCCCTTCCCGGTGCCCCATCAAGATGAAGTGGAAGAAACCATAGAAGGAAACTCATCTGCAGTCACCAACCAGCATTGCGGGCCTGTGATGCACAGACCTTGCTCTGGACGCTGGGGAGCCGCTCCACGCATCCCTTGGGGCAGGGCAGTTTATCAGGCAGCGATGGACCCAGGCTGAGGCCCTCCTTCCTGGGGCTGGTGAGGCTCCCTCCTCAGCCCGGAGGAGCCCGGGACCAGGCTGCCTGCCATTTCCTTTTTCAAGGGAAAAGACGAAGTGCCCATTGGGCCCCTGGGCTTCCTCAGGGCTGGGCTTTTGCTGGGGACGGTGCTGGAGCAGGAGAGAAGGGACAGTGGCTGAGCACAGGCTAGGTTGGGGCAGGAGGGCAGGGCAGGTGTGAGGTGACGCCATGTGCTTCATACCTCAGCAGGCTGCAGGGCAGGACTCGTCATGGGGAAGGAGGGAGGGACCGCACTACCAGGGCGGCCATGTATGGGTGGTTGAGGTGGGTATTGGCCAAGGGGATGGAGGGCGCATCTACCATTCTGAAGTGACAGGTGTCCTCTAAGGGAGAAACACTGTGACCCAGATGCTGGAGTCACCAGAGGCCCCAGGAGCAGCCCGGTTTGTCAGATAACAGCAACAAGAGAGATTGGAGGTGTCCCCAGCATGTGGGCTGGGCTGGGCCACTTGTGTGTGACCTACAGGGCTCAGGAAGGGGCTGAGGGCTCCCATTCTGGCTCTGGGCTCCGAGTGGCTAGCATCATCCTGGTAGTGGTGGCTTGGTGGCCTGGGCCAGCTCACCTGTATGTCCAGGGAGGGCCTCCCAGGATGCTGGCCCTGGCTCCTGCTCATTGAACCTGGCAGGGGCCTAACTGTGCTGGTGACCTGACCTCAGTTATGCCACCTGCAAAATGGGATTAAACAAGACCCAGGTGGCATCTCCGCCGTCCTCCCAGACCCCTCAAGCCTCTCTGTGTTGCACAGGCAGGGATCTAATGGCTGGAGAAGAAATGCCCGGCCACAGGCCTCCAAGATACATGTGTTGGAGCCCAACAGCCAAGGTGATGGCAGGAAGAGGTGGGGCCTTGCAGGAGGGCCAAGTCACAGGGCTCTGCGCTCAAGACAGGGCAGGAGCCTCCCAACAGAGCTGGGAGGGGCTGACTTGCCTCTGCCCACCGCCCCTGCTGGCCACAGTTGGAGCCACTGCCAGGAGCAGCAAGAGGCTGGGCATGACCTGAACCTCCTGCGGCCTTGACCTTGGGCTTCCTCCCTGCAGGCTGGGGGCAGTGCCTGTCCTGATCCGTTCCCACCTAAGGCCATTGCTTTGCTCTCTGCTGGTGGTTAGCTCTTCGTTGTCCCCCTGAGGGGCGCCAGGTGCTGGGCACACAGAAGCCAGCCAGAGCAGCCCACCCACCCACCCAGCCAGCACTCCCCCCAGCAGCCCCGGCGCTAAAGAGCTCCTAGAAATGACTCCGACTCCACCTCGGAGCCACGGCACCAGTCTCCTGTCACACGAAGGAGAGTAGCCACCACCAATCACCACCACAGAGCAGTCGCCAGTGAGTGAAGGGAGGGGCGCCGCTGTGAGACTCTCTGTCAGCCCTCTACCCCAGGCTGTCTGCAGAGGCAGCAAGCTGAACCACAGGCAGGGGCAGGGGACAGTCCTGCCACCTGCAGCCAGCCGGCAGACTCAAACCCCCAATTCTGCACTGACCCAGGGCTGCGGGCCAGGCTGGAGTGAGTGAGAGTCTGTACCCCATCTGTCCTGCGAGTCTTTTCCTCATTCCAGGCTCAGCCATGCTGTGTGACTTGCCTAAGGTCACGTACCTGGGAGGCAGCAAGGCAGGCCTGGGGCCAGGCAAAGTGGCTCGAATGCCCAGTCTTTGCTCCGCCCTCCCTCCTGCCCCCAGTGAGTGTTCTGGGGATGACTTGCGTTTGCGGCCTCGGGGGCCACGTGTCGTCTACCCCAGCCCGGAGCTACCCACCAGCCCCTGCCCAACCCCAGGTCCCCTCCAGGGTACTGCCACCACCCTACACCCCACCAAGTTCAGAATCCCACGGAGAGGCCTCCTGACACCTCGTTCCTCTCCAGCCCCTAGTCACAGTCGCCCCTGCACCGGTGCTGCTAGGGGGCTTTCAGGAACCAGACCCGTGAGGGGTGGCTTTTTTCCTGAGAACTGGCTCCCTGGTGTCACTGGGTCCCACCACCTCAGCCTGCATGAGGCCCGGCCCTGCACAGCCAGTCTGCTGAGCCTGCCGCTTCCTAAAGGCATGGCCACTCTCAGCCCACCTTGACCTCGCTCACAGCCTGTTGGGTGGGAGGAGACAGAGGCTCAGAGCCACCGTGATGTGGCTCCCAGGTGGCCCCATAGCGAGCCTCATTGTGGCCCTGCCTGCCCCCCATCACTTCTCTGCTCCACAGGGGTGTCCCCAGCCTCAGGGGCAGGCTGCGACCTGCATGGCTCTTTCCCGCTTTGCTGGTGGCTCCTCCAGTCCTATAGGTCCTGACTCAAACTTGGGCCCTCGGGCCTACACTAGCCCCAGAGGCCCCAGGGCCAAGCCAACCCTGGCCCCAGGTGCTGCTGACCTGGCTGCCTCTCAGCTCCAGGAGGGCAGCATGGACCTGGCTGTCCACTGTGCCCCCTGAACCCCTGCCCAGGGGCAATGTCTGTTGGCGCTGGGCATGTGTAAGTCTGTCTGCCAGCTCCCCCTCTGCCTCCTGCCCCCTCGCAGCTGCCAGGTCTGCTGGCCCTGGCCTCTGTTCCCCGTGCTTTCTCCAGCTTCCAGAACCACACGTGCTTCCCTCCTGCATCTCTGCTGGGCCAGGGAGCATCTGGTGGCTTCAAACCCCTGACGGCCACTACCCGTCCAGGGGGGCACCTCCTCCTCAGACCAACGGTGGGTTAGACAGAGGAGGGGCTCGAACCCCGGGGCTGGCTCCCCAGTGCCACTGAGCAAACCAGGTATGAGTTTAGCCCCTGGGCCCGGCAGAGGACAGCCCGGAAACCACGGG